GCTTTGGGTATTTTTTCACATCCAGTTAAGACAGACTTAACTAGAGAAACACATCTATACAAAACAGGCCTGGAAAACATCAGTGAACAGAAAGCAGGAGGTTAAAAATGTGGTGAATGCAGTGTCTGCATGGACAGGGGCATGATAAATGTATCTGAAGCGTCTTTTTGCAAGGCCTGTGTGTTATATTTCTGTTGCTTCCAACTGTCAGCACAAGGACAGGCTGGCAGGGATGTGAGCAGGCAGCTGTCTCTGGGAGCCTATAGATAGCAGCTTCCTTGGGTAGCACGTTTGCAGCTCCCTCAAACAGATTTATCAACATCTTCACTGTCTCACCACTGCCAGCTCAAATGACTTCTCAAGGAGCTTTGGTTATGCAAGCTTGTAAAAGGTGCATTGTTTTTTCTATTTGTTTCTTATTTTTGGATGTGTGTGTGTGTGTGTGCCAGGTTTTTTTTAGTAACTCACTGCAGCAGATAAATCTAGTGCAGGGTTTCACCATGTGTTAAGGGGGAAAAAAATAATAATACTCCATTTGTCCAGCGTGACCAGGCTTTAAATAAGCATCAGAACTTCCAGCAGCTGTGCAGAGCAGTGGAACAGCACAGGGCAGGGATGCTCTGGGAGTCAGGAGAGGAGAACCTGCAGAGATGGGAGCTGGAAACAGCATCTGCTGGGCAGATCCACAGGATGCAGCCATGATCATTTCAGGGCCTTGGAATGCTTCACTGCACATTCCCCTCTAGTGCTGGGTGACCTGGAGGAGCCTGGGGACAAACAGGAGCCCCTCAGTGCTCCAGGTGCCTCTGGATGGCCACAGAAACAGGAGCTGCAGGGAGGGAGGGTGGGGAAACAGCCCGAGGAGCTCCCCAAAGCATTCCTGTGCTCATTGCTCTGCACTTCTCAGCATGGCAACCTGCAATAATAAAGACTTTAAAGGCTTCTTCAAAAAGCTTCCAGGCTGTATCCAGAGCTCCATCTGGAAGGTCTCCTGAGAGTTGGGAATGTTTTGTAAATACAGGCAGGGGACAAATGAGGTTTTTCTTAAAGTGAATCTGGCAGAAGTTGCTTTCTAACAAGAGCTTGCAACTGGCCACACGAGCAGGAGTTTCCCAAAGTGCATCCCTGCTGGAATGTCTTTTGGAAAGGGTGCAGTTCATTTGTCATCCCTACAAAGTCTTTTACCACCACAGTAAATTACAGGCCTTTGGGGAATGTGCTGTGCTTGGTTCTTTTCAGGTCATGTTCTGGGTCTTGGATTGCTGGGTGAAACCAAATATGCTGCTTTATCCTGTTTGCCTGTGCATTTGTTTGTGTCTCAGCAGATTGAATAGCATTTCTATTTAAATCATTGCTCATTCTAACTAAAACAATTGCTGTTCTGTGGTGTCAGGGGATTCCTGAGGTAACAGGAACACTGTGCATTTTGTGATTTACTGCCCTCTTTGCCTCTTGAAAGCCCCAGTTCGTTTTGGTCCATTTTCCCTGTTTGTTTGGGTTAGTGATGCCTCATCAGCTCCCCCAGACCATGACAGGGCTGGGGATTTTCAGCCCTGGTGCCCTCATTGTGGATTTCAGGCAGGGGCTGCAGCTCCATTTTCCCATCAGCAACGCTAATGCTCAGAAATGTGAGTTTCAAGAACTTGAGGTCTCTCTTTGCTGGTTTTCCCCTCTCCTGCAGCTGTTGGTGACACTGTGAGTTACCCAGAGCTGTTGTTTGCCTGCATGTTCCACTTAGCACTTCTGGCAGTTATGAGAAAAGAGTGAGAAAAACACTAAGGAAAGCTATCAGAAGTATGAAAGTATAAATCTCCTATAGATTGAAAATATCTCCCACTCTCATCTTGGTATTTTTCCCTTCAGTTGGGCTCTTAGCAAGAAATTCCAGAATACTTCACAAACACGGATTTAGGCCTTCTACTGCCTTCCTCCTCCTCCTCCTCCTCCTCTCCCTGAGGAAATGACATTCTCATTCCTTGTTTGCAGATGAGGAATGAAGGTCTGAGTGGCGAAGTGACTCGTCCAAGGTCAGCTGCTGAGTTAGTGGCACAGCTATGAATAGACAAAGGCATTTTAGCTCTCAGCTCTCTGCTAAACAAGACTGTGCCCTCCCAGTTTCAATTTGTCAGACTTCATGACTAATAACATTTGAGCATCTAGAAGGTGGCAGAAAAATTTCTTTGCAGAGCCAGCAGGTAACCCCTGGTTACACCAGCAGCAGGGTGGGAGCTCCTCCCTGTCCCCAGGGATCCTGGTGATAATTTTGGGTGTTGTGAAGAGGGAGAACTTTCCCCCTTGGATTGCTGTTTGTGTCATGCTGTATCTGCTCACCTGAGTGCTCACTTTGGTGCTGCAAACAGAGATCCCAGAGCTGGCTCTTCATTTGTCTTGGTGGAGCAGTAATGAAGTGTCCTCAGAGCAGTTTGCCTTCAACAGCTATTTTAAACCTCCAGTGCAATCTGCTGTTCCTTGAAGGGAAAAAGTAATTCAACTAAAAGTGCTCTGAGGAGCCAAGGGAGAGAAGGAAATGTTGAGAGGTGCTAATCAGGAAGGGGAAATCATCTGTCTGCGTGTGGGCACCTCCCTGCTCACATGGCGCAGCCCTGCCGCAGCCACATAAGAAGCTTTGTGATCAACAAATGTCAAGGGCAATTAATTCCTGGGCCAGCAGCTGTTATTATTAGGACAAAGAGTGGCCAGACATAGAAGGAAAGCCTTCAGCTGATTTGTTTTCTCTACCTTTCCCCTCCAAATTGATCAGTTGCTCAAGCCCCAGCAGTGAACTCCCTCGCAATATGAATTTCAAATTTGCCATCTCTTTTATTTTCAGGAGGAGAGTTTGTATTAGATTCAGAGCACAGAGGAACAGCTCAGGGAAGGTGTTTAGAAAGTCCTCCCCACTTTAATGCTATCAGGATGGAGAGGAGTTAAGCTGGTAACATAATAATATGTGGGCTGAATTAAACCCACCTCAGACTGGTTTTCTCAATTCATGGAAGCAGAGCACTTTTAGGCTTGACTTAATACCCTCCCAGAGTTATTCCAGGATTGCTACAATGCAACTGTGGGTGTTCTAAACACACCTACGCTGCCAGAGAATCAGGAAGGATGTACTCAAAATCCTTTAATTTATCTAATAACATCTTTAGCAGCTTTTTGTGTAGGTTTAGCATTGTAATGGAAATGCACTCTATGGCTGGATATAGAGCTGCTGTGTGGAAATGGAACACGTGAAGAGCACTTGGAGCTGGGGGGAAATACTCTGACCTGCTACACCCCCTGTAAATGCACCTTCACTTGTGCCACTGGTCACTGCAGTGAAAATAATACCTAAAATTTCAGATTTTCAAGTGTTCATGGCTCTGGGTATCCACAGACATTGCTGTGCCCCCTCCCAGGCCCAGGCAAAGCAGAAATTCCTCCCCTCTGGGCTATTTATTCTTTGCTGTTTAGTCCTGAGTCTATTTTAGCCACGTTCCTAACCAGGTTCCCTCTTGGCCCATCAGTGGATGTCCCTGAATATTCTTTAGAAGTGACACAAAACAAGTTTGGTTTTTCAGCACGGAGCTGGTCAGGGGAACCTCGGACTGGAAACAGCTCAGGTTCCTGCGGGTGCCCTGCTGGTAACTGCTGGGATAATTCTGCTATCCCGGGCACTGAGACCTCTCCCTTTTTGGGGAATCTCATGGAACATGAGCAGAACCAGCATGACAAACCTGCTCTTTGTGAACCAAATAAAGACAGAAAAAAAAAAAAAACAAGGCAGGAAATCAGCTCCTCCACGTGCCAGCAGCAGGGGATGTGCCGGGGTTTTCCTCCGGATGGGAACGGGATCGGAGCCCTGAGATGGGATGGGAAGGGCCGGGATCAGAGCCCTGAGGGGCGCCGGGATCGGAGCCCTGGGCTGGGATGGGAAGGGCCGGGATCGGAGCCTTGGGAAGGGCCGGGATCGGGGCCCTGAGGGGAGCCGGGATGGGAGCCCCGGGCTGGGTTGGGCTGGGCCGGGGCGATCGGAGCCTGGGCTGGGAAGGGCCGGCCCTGAGGCAGCTGATTCCGGAATCCTGCCTGGGAATTCCAGGGAAAATCCTCGGATGGGTGGGGCCCTAACGAGGCGCTGTGTGTGACTCCCAGAGCTTCCTAACAGTGTTAGACAAAGCTATTTGTTGTTAATCTTATCCCTTAATCATTTATAGATATGTTGAACAGAACGAACAGGTTAAGGAAGCGTTGTTGTTTATTGCCTGTTGTCTGGATTTCCGCCTTGGAATTCTGTGGTTGATGGATGGTTTCTGGGCTGAAATTGGCTCTGTGTCTCTTTATGGCCCTGTGACAGTGGATGTATTGGGAAAGACACCATTATCCCACTAAAATCTGTGGAAATTGGAAGTTTCGGGCTGTGTCAGCAGGAGACACCTGGAGAAGTTGGGGCTGACCAATGGGAAATGCAAAGTTATACATAAATTAAGAGGTATTAAATTCCACTTGAATGAGAGAATGTACATTAAAGTGGCCTTGGCTTGCTATAGATTAATTAACCTTGGGGGATACCAGGTTTAATTAAACTACAGTGAATTAAAGCCACTTCACTGTGGGTAGAAATCATTCCTGGGGGAGCTTTTTTACCTTATGCACATCAACTCCCTGTGGGTTAACCTGAACTTCCAGCGCCCCTTAGGGAGCCTTTGGACACTTTGAAATCTGAGGAATTCTAGAACCCCAACTCCAAATCTTAGGAGAAACTGGACTTAACTTGAGTTAAAATTGTACCATACATATGTAAAAAATGTACAGTGGTGTGACAGACTCTGGAGGGTTCAAGTCTAGATTTGAAAAGAATTTAAATAGAGGTTATGAACTGAAACATTAAAACTTAAGAACCAGGGAACAGAGGAGTGAAAGGGGGCAACCAAAACCCATCAGTGAGTCTGAGGTCTTGCTGCAGGGCTCAGGCAAAACCTTGGTGAAAAACACACTCATGTTACCTGGCTGAATCACACTAAAACATCTTTTTGTGCTTTCTCTTTTTCCTTTCCAGTAACTGCCCCTCATTCCTGGCCTCTGCTTTAGCCAGAGCAACGTCAGATGAAGTCCTGCAGAGCGACCTCTCGGCGCATTTCCTGCCCAAGCACGTGGACAACGCCGACGGCATCATCCGTAAGTGCCACCAGATCCCAAATTCCCAAACCCCAAATTCCCAAATTCCACCCCTGGGCTGCAATTCTGGGACAGAAACATCCCACATGGATGGAAAAAGCTTCATGGGAAACTCACCTCCACTCCTGACAGAGCTGCAGGTCTAATTGCTCAAATCAAACCTTTGGAATCACTCTATTAAATGCATTTTCGTGGCTGTGTCTGCTGATGGCCCTGAATCTCTCTCTCAGCACTTCATACAATGTGGTTCTGCTGGCAAGTGCCAGTTGTCCTCCCTCATCCTTGGAGCAAAGTCAAATATATGTGGGAAGAGATAATTTAATTCTGAATTATTTCAGTCAGTGTGGTTTTTACTATGGCTTGTAAGGGGTTTTTTTATGGTTTTAGCAAAAGGTAGTATAAAGAGATTTTGTGATTAAAAGGAAGAAAATTCCTTTTTCTCATTTATCTGTGTTGGCTGACAAGATTTTTGCAGCCTCCAGCTCAAGGTCATGCACCCTAATTCATTTCAGGAGTGTGCTGGCCTAAATAACCTTGAAAATTAGCTGGGTTGTTCATTACAACAAAAACCAATGTTTCTCACATGTAGTAACAGGAGTTCTGTCATTTGATCTTGAAAATATCCCCAACCTACTTTGTCCATTCCCTCCTTTTTTGATTTAAAAAATCCTGGAAATTATTCTGGGGGAAAGGAGGATCTATAAATCTGGCTTTTCAAAAAGGAAGATTTTGCTGTATTCCCCAGAGGCCCTTGGAAACCTGAGGAGCAGAAAAACCTGCTCTGGGTTCCCTTTCTGTAGGTATTGCTGCCTCCTCCTGCTGAGCAGGTAAATGGAATAGATTTGTCATTGTTCTGGCTGAGCAGCCTTCATTAATTTCAAATTGAGATCTCTGAAACTTGCATAAATATTTGACAGTCTCCAAGGAAATGTTGACTAAGCCTCCACACAGAATATCTACAGAATCCAACAAAAAAGGGAAAAAAGAAAGGGAAAAAAGCCACCACAAACCCCTCACACCTACAGAAATTGACATTTAAATATATCTAAGGCTGTAAGACAGAGGCAAACATAGAATGAGATGGGAACAGACTGCAGCAGGCACTAAGAATAGGGCTCCAGATGCAGTTTGTTGAGGTGAATTGTCATGATGAGGATACTTGGAAATAAAATATCCCTGTGCTGATGCAGTGTGAGTGTTAAATTGTGAGGGTTTATGGGGAGAGGAAGAGAGAAATCCTCTGGCCTGTAGTAAAGCAACAGCTTCATACCAACCCTGCAATTTCAAATAATCTAAGTGATCATATGCAAAAACAGGACATAGGAATGACAGAATCACAGAAAGGTTTGGGACACTAAAGATCAATGGGCATGGGCAGGGACCCCTCCCACCATCCCAGGGTGCCCCAGGCTCCATCCAGCCTGGCCTTGGGCACCTCCAGGGATCCAGGGCAGCCCCAGCTGCTCCATCACCGCTTCAAGTGCAAGGTTTGGCCCAGCAAAGCCAGACCAAACTGGTGACAGCAGCAGCAGCTCCAGCCTGGAGACCCTTTGGGGAGTCCTGGAGAGGCCTGGGCTGGTGCTCAGAGGAGATCTGCCCTCAGTGGTGCCACGTGGGAGAATTCAATGCTTCAATGCTTTGGAAGAAAGCAAAGCAAAGTGTGGCAGGTGGTGAAAATGGGATTTCTACATTCTGGAGTTTGATGCTCAGAGTTCACTGTGCCCTGATGCTGTTTGAGCTGCTGCAGAATGTGAAACCAAGCTGAATTTCACTGCTTTAATATCCAGTTCTATGTCAGGTTTTTATGAACCCAGAAAGATTTTTACTCTGTGTAATACAAGGAGACATTTACCTGATTTGCCTCAAGTTTGAATTTGCTGAAAGATAAAAAAAAGCTATTTCAAATTTCCTCAGTGGCACATTTCACTCTGAGAATTGCAACGTGACAAATCATGTCCTGTGCTTAGGAGTGGGGAAAGCAGCTCTTGGTGTGGAGAGAAATGAGAAACTCCAGGACAGAAGAATGCAAATCTTACAAGAAGAAAAACTGGTTGGAGTCCACAAATGTAGGATTGCAGGATTAGGGGTCTGTTGTGTTTGGGGTGACCATGTGTTTTTGGGTATCTGAGTCACTCTTCCCTTCCAGCTGCAAGAGATTTTCCATGAGACCTGAGTGATGTTGGATTTCTGCAAGATCAGGTTAAGGACATTTAAATTTGGGGTTTGTTTGTGGAGGAAGAGAATCTTGTGGAAGTTTGGCATCATTAGGGAACCAGCAGAGGCTGGATAGCAGGACCATGGGAACTGGTGGTGGGATCAAATTTCCAGGAGATGTCACAAAGCAAATCCTAATGTCCATTACCCAGTTGTTCCAGGTTCTAGGAGATGGATCCTAGAGATATCCAAAGGGATCTAGAGCTCCTAGATGAAGGGAAACCTTGATTCTGACCTGTCCATGTTATCAACACAGCTCATAAAACATGGCACGAAAAAGCAGGACCTGATTCCTGGTATCCTTTCCACCCTCCCTCTGCCCTGTCATCTTTGGGAACAGCAACACCTGAGCTGGATTTCCCACTCACTGTGGTGCAGCTCAGCATTCCCTCCAACCTTGGGGATTTGGGAGCAGCAGGAGGGAAATGAAATTCTCCATGACACAACTGCAGTGCCAGCTGAGTCAGCTCTGGCTCAGCGTGGCAGCATTAACAATTGATGAGTAATTTCCAGCTGTGAGGGGGAGGTTTTTATTTGGCATTTTATTATTCTCCTGTTTTAACCTCACGAGCAGCTCCTGATGATGCTGACACCACCCAGGGTCCCCTGGGAAGGGCAGTGAGGATCTCAGCAGGGCCCTGGGTTCACGGGCACCCTCCTGCAG